TGTGTGTGTGTGTGTGTGTGTGTGTGTGTGTGTGTGCGTACGTGCGTACGTGTGTGTGGGTGTGTGTGTGTGTGTGTGCGTGAGTACGTGCGTGCGTGCGTGCGTACGTACGTGTGCGTACTGCGCGGACGGGTCACGCGTCTTCATCTCTATCTCCCCAGCAGGTACTAGCCGCTACTGTGAAGCAGGCCAGCGCTGCCACACCATGATTTATGGATGGCGTAACACACATAGAAAACACATCTATCTGTCGTTGCCGGCCTAGCTTGCTGGCATGCAGACATGCACGCTGCTGCCCGACGATAGACGACATGTCGGAACGCAACATTAGCAATTAAGAGCACGGCGTGGCATGACCTAGCACGCCGTTACATGACATGACGTGACACGACACGGTAGGAGACGGTACGAAGCGGCGCGGTAAGACAGCGCATAGCACGATACGACACACGACACGACGTGTGACACGAAACGGTACGACACGACACGAAACGATACGACATACCCCACGACACGATGTGTGACACGAAACGGCACGACACGACACGAAAGGATACGACATACCACACGACACGAATGTGTGACACGAAACGGCACGACAGGACACGAAAGGATACGACATACCACACGACACGATGTGTGACACGAAACGGCACGACAGGACACGAAAGGATACGACATACCACACGACACGATGTGTGACACGAAACGGCACGACACGACACGAAAGGATACGACATACCACACCACACGATGTGTGACACGAAACAGCACGACACGACACGACACGACACGACATGACAGAAGACGATACGACACAATACGACACAAGACAACATGACATAAAGTTGCATAGAGTGGCACATTATAGGTGCCTATAGACGTCGGGAATAGTAAACAATTTGAGAGCTATAAGTAAGGCTGTGCTATTGAAACGTATAATTAATTTACCTGTCGTTCTAATAGAATTAAGACTGATGCAGCTACCCATGCACGCTAAGTTTGGCTGAGGTCTTAATTATGAAAACCTATGATGTAGCTACGCAAATAACTGTGTCACGTGCTGGTTAACAATAACTCTCTCGCGAGAAACATGTATAGAGAGAGAGAGAGAGAGAGAGAGCGAGAGAGAAGGGTAGGGAGAGAAAATAGGCTAAAAAAGATGGAGAGGGAGAGAAGAGGCACGCACGAGAAGAGAGAGAGAGAGAGACGAGAGAAGTAGAGAGAGAGAGAGAGAGAGATGAGAGAGAGTAGGAGAGAGAGAGAGAGAGAGAGAGAGAGAGAAGAGAGAGAGAGAGAGGAGAGAGAGAGAGAGAGAGAAGAGAGAGAGAGAGAGAGAGTGTGTGTGTGTGTGTGTGTATAGAGAGAAAGAGAAGAACAACCAGGGCGAGAGAGAAGAGAGAGAGAGACAGAGGAGAGGAGAGAAGAGGGAGAGAGAAGAAAGAGAGAGACAGAGAAGAGAGAGAGAGAGAAGAGATGACGATGAGAGAGAGAGCGAGGAGAGAGAGGCGAGAGATGAGAGAGAAAGAGAGAGAGAGGAGAGAGAGAGAAAACAGTATGAGAGAAATAAGAAGAGAGAGAGAGAGAGACAGAGAGAAGATAGAGAGAGAGAGAAAAGGAGTGGGGGAGAGAGACAAGATGAAAGAGATAAATAGGTTGTACTACTATATTAGCAAATACCTGTGTTTCGCGGTTGAGACTAATCAATGCGATTTAGAGCAAAGGGATTAGTGATCGGTTGATAGCCGTCTCATGTTATAATGCAGAGGTGCATTGTGCCAGGTTGCCATCGAGTGAAGAGGTAGTTTATGTGTTAGCGCTATGTATGATGTATTGTCTTATAGCAGTGGCTCGCTAGCGATTTACTAACATGGCCATATATAGTATATATATATATATGTGTGTGTGGTGTGTGTGTGTGTGTGTGTGATAATGTTGCGTGTGTGCGGTGCATGCGTGCGTGCGAGTGAGTGTGTTGTAGTGTATAGATGTGTGTGTGTGTGTGTGTGTGTGTGTAGTTTGTGTGGTGTGTGTGGTGTCTAGTGCTGTGTGGTCTGTATATGTGTGTGTGTGTGTGTGTGTGTGTGTGTGTTAGTGGTGTGTGTGTGTGTATTGACCTGTCTACTACGTGGATGAATGTTTAAACACCATCCTAGTTCATTACCTCATCAGTTAAACTGCCACGGCGTTGCACGGAGATGCCGATACATAGCATCGCCATATTTCATTCTAGTCTACAAAGCGAGGTTATAAATTATTACAGTAATAAGTAATTCAACTAGTAAAAAAAATCTACAAATTTAGCCACCGATTTCGTTTCGTAAGCTTTTACGAGAGTCGGTAGCTTGGGTTTAGTGACCCGTGTGTCAGTAAGCGGGTGACTGCGAGCGAGAGACCCGTGTGAACTATATATGGTTCAATAATTGTCTCCGCTGCGCGTGTCACACGCGTGCTCTCACACGGCTCTAATTGTGCTCAACCGGTCCTTGGTCTCCCCCACTCCCCACCTCTAACTCTAGACGAAAACATTACCGAAGTGTTATATATATATATATATATATATATATATATATATATATATATATATATATATATATATATATATAT